GTGTAGAGGGTGCAGGGGGCACGGGGGGTGCGGGGGGCATGGGGAGCACATGCAGGACCAAAGCCGGCGCGGAGGGCGGAGGCCGCGGGATGCGCTCACGGCCCCGTCGTGTGTTGCAGGAATACCAGATCGACGTGTTTTTCGCCCAGACCTGGACGGACAGCCGCCTGCGCTTCAACAGCACGATGAAGCTGCTCACTCTCAACAGCAACATGGTGGGCTTGATCTGGGTCCCGGACACCATCTTCCGCAACTCCAAGACCGCGGAGGCCCACTGGGTCACCACCCCCAACCAGCTCCTCAGGATCTGGGGCGACGGCAAGATCCTCTACACCCTACGGTAAGGGGCTGGCGGCTGGAGCACCGGCGTCCGGTCGGGGTCCTGAGGTCGCCGTGGGGGGCGGGCCTGTTCTCGCCGCTGAGGCCCGGGCCTGTCACGCTCGCCGTGCTGCAGCGCGATGCCTGGGGAGTCCCTCCTGGTGCCACAGGAAGGGCCACCTGCATGGTGACGCGTCCCGCCGTCAGAACAGTCCACGGTCTGTTTAATCCACGAGGCCACTCGGCTGGGAACACAAAGCTGCCTTGGGGTGGTAATTAACAGACATAATCATAGCCCATCTGAGCCCACAAGGGCACGGGCACGGGGGCGCCCCGTAACGGGGCTGGCTGCCCCCCACTGAGAGAGAGAAGCTGAGCTTCACGCAGGGCGCTGGCCTCGCCCACAGCTCAAAGCAGCACCAGCTCACACAGCAGGAAAGCGGCCACGTGACCCACGGTGGGGTGGGGGGGACCCGGGCCAGAGCGAGTCACGCATGCGGTCACCCCCACTGCCGCCCCCTGAACCGCGGTGACGGGCCTGCCCCGCCCTGCCGGGCACTTGGCCGGGCCTTGCCGGCCGGCCGTGCAGTGACCCCGGCTCTCCCGCAGGCTCACCATCAACGCCGAGTGCCAGCTGCAGCTACACAACTTCCCCATGGACGAGCACTCCTGCCCGCTGACCTTCTCCAGCTGTGAGTATGGCTGGGCTCCGACAGCTGTGGGGGCGTCCGGCCCGTGCCAAGGTCACCCGGGGCCACATGGCCCATGAGAGCGTCACCGTACGGCCGGAGGGGACAGATGGCGGGTCGGCGTTGGCCGCCTGGGCGTTTCCGCTGCGGATTCTATGCCACAGGACCCATGTGACGAGGTGGTGGCCTTAATAAGGCCATGTGCGGCTCGGCCGTTCCTTACGGTCCTGCGGGGTTCGGTGACGCTAGGCTCATCAAACACTCTTAGGCTAGTGAGATGGTCGTGTGTCTTTGCAAGTGCACCAGACTCGTTCGTGATAATTTGCGGTTTCAGACCATCTTCGCGCAAGATAATGTGTCTTCAAAATAGAAAGGTAAACATTTTTATGAAACTTATTTAGCTTCCTCTCATCGCACCGTTATGGGAATTAATTTTTCACAGTATTTTAATATTTTATTTATGTTTGTTATTAGAGCTAACAAGTAACCACTTACAAATTCTTAAAGTCAGTAATGAGAACGGGGATGCGTCTAAAAGGAAATATCCAGTTTCCTAGACGGCTAGCGTCTGGGAATGTCCCGTAAACTCGCCCAGAGATTAATTCGAGCCTACGGTTCTCTATTAACTTAATTACTTTAAAAGTTACGGGATGGTCCGACTTGTCTAGTGTTTTGCGAGTCTGTAATTTTTTCTAGTGTTTTTATTCGCTTCGCTGTGTGTTAGTTTTCTCGGCGAACTCAGTTTGGCCGTGTAGACCCTTCCGATGCGCTGAGACACTGTTAACTCGTCTAGTGGGTTCGTAATTTCATGGATGATTCCTCGTTATGAGACGTTCTATCTTGTTGCTTTTTATTCTAATTTTCTACACAATGTCGACAGCGTCTTATTTCTTTACCAAATGTTCAGTGTCATCGTCTGCTCATTTATTTCCTGGACGTTCCGACGCTGTCGTGGGGGCTGTTTGCAGAAATCGTTGTTTCATTTCACTGTTTTTTGTCATTTGTTTACTTTTCCGTTCAGAAATTTGTACGTTCGAGCTCACGCGGCCGGACGTTTTCCCGTGGGATCTCTTCGAGGCTTAAATCCAAGGCGGATTCTTCGAGAGGGTTTGCTCTGCTCCGACTAGCACATTAAATCAAAGCCGGGCCTGGGTCTCCGGCCGCACAGGTGGCGTGAATGTCAGCCCCACGTCTTTGGCATTTGGGGCTGTGGTTTTCAATTCTCAGGAGGGACTTTTTTTGGTTTTCCGTTCTTCCCACAGCCAGAGCCCAGCGGGAAATATCTTTTTAACGAGGTTCCTCCCTTTCCCGTGGAAGCAGCTCAGGTACCTGTCAGCGGATGACGGGGTAACGGAACGTGGCCCGCCCACACGGTGCAGTGTCACCGGCCTTACAAAGGAGGAACAGTCTGACACCTGCTGTGGCTGGGTGAACCTCGACGGCATTATGCTCAGTGACATAAGCCGGTCACGAAAGAACAAAAGACAAACACAGCCTGAGTCCGCTCGTCCAAGAAAAGGGACCATGACAGGAGCTCCGTCCATGACAGGAGGGCCCCCCGCCTGTCGGTGACGAACGGCCCTTCTGCTCGTCCGCGTGCTTTATTTCCCGTTTGGCTGTGCTGCTGGTCGCTGGTCCAGACAGGTCTGTGTGCCCCCGAGTGCTCGTTCACAGTGGGTCTCAGTGTCCCTTCTGCGTAGGTGGCCGTGCACGGCAACCCTTGGCGGTGACAGCCCAGGGCCCAGGACAGCGCCATCCCCGGCACATCTCATTTTGGGAGGCGTCGGTCGGACTGGGCTGGTGGTCAGTACAGTCCCTTCAAGAGCGTTGTCCGGCAGCGGACCCTAAGGCCCCGCCCCAAAGGCCCGGGGACGGAGCTTCTGTCATGGTCCTTTTTCTGGGATCCCGTTAGGAAGCCACGGGGCGGAGGGCGCGTGGCCAGGGCAGGAGTGGATGGGAGGCGGCCCCGCCTCCAGGGCTCCCACTGGGACGGAGCTGGAGCGGCCGTGGCGACAGCTGGCCGAGGGTGGAGAACCGAACCTGGCTGAGCCGGGCCAGAGCTAGAGACACCAGCTGGAGAGCGGGCAGCGGAAAGCAGCGTCTGAGTGCAGGTGACCTCGCCCCGAGTGCATCCCGTGAGTGGATAATACGGTGGAACGCGCTGTGTACGGTGATGCAGGGGACGCGGACCCGAGGGGACCCCGAAAGGCGTCTCACAGGCACACGCACTGCCTCTGCCCCAGAGTCACCCTGCGGCGCCGGCTCCGTGGCTCCCAGGTGGACGCTGTCAGCGATGTCCCTTCCCAGCCGCCACAGGGCGAGGCCTCGCCAGCAGAGGGAAGTGGACAGAACGACCGGCCCCTGGGGGGCGAGGCGGCCGCTGGGGGCTTATCGGGTGCTGTGCAGGCCCCACGGCGCCGTGTGTCCGGTCAGCGTCCGTTTTCACCGAGCACCCGCTCGGTTGGGGACTGGGGTTTCGTGCCATAAACCATGACTTCTTTACTTCTCATAAAGAAGTAAAAATTAAAAGGTCCCTTTTTCTTCAGCACCGCTCTAAATCCAGTCTTGCATGTCCAGTTACAAATGATGTATTTGCTTTTTGGGAAGAAAAGAAATCTCACGGTAGGATGATCATTCTTTGTTTTCCATTTATTGCAAGTCACTGAGAATGAATAGAATTAATTGCAAAGTTATTTTTAACGTTTCGTCTAAATTTGTTTTGTATTATTCCTGTCAAGTCGAAGCAAGAGCGAAAAGATGCATCAACCTCTTGAGAGCAAACAGCAGACGAGGCAACAAAATAGATTATAGACCGTAACGTCCATTTCTGCAATGTTTTGAAAAAAAAGTTTTGCAGATAATAACGAAGACTTGTGGAAAATCTGTGTTTCCAGTGATTCGCCTCTGAAGCATCGTCGGCGAAGTGATTACAGCAAGTCTGTCGTAGCATCTCATGTTAAATCCTCACGGTCCGAAGTTGTTATTAAGGCAAAAATATATATATAGGGGAAGACCTTGACTGAAGTTAATTAGGTCATTGGGGGACAGCCAGCTTTACTGCGGTTGAGCGGAATTCACCATGAATACGGAGAACGCACGGTTTTGGGGAAACGCCGTTTTTGCAAAAGAAAAAGCGATTGACGTGTGTGCCGACACGAGAAGCGAGGTCTCGCCTGCTGCACGGAACGTGGCACAGGAAGCCCTCGCCCTCGGCTTGCGTTTCGGGGTGAAGTCGATCTCAATGCAGACGATGTAAATGCACACTTTTCTATCTCATGGGGCCCTGATCTTAAAAATACGGGTGGCCCCGTTTGTAAGCTGTGGCTGATTTTGAGATGAAGAACCCCAGAATGCGTCTGGAGCGCGCGTCCCAGCTGCTGAAGCTTCCTGGCGGAATAAAATTACTTCTTCAGCCAATGCTATAATTTTGCAGTTATGCCTAAATAAAGATGTCCGCTTTCATCTTTCCCGCTCCTCCGGGGAGAGAGGGTGGAGAGAACAAGATGCCAAATTTTTCACATGCCTGCTTTTCTCCCCAACACTTGCGGCGAATGAATGCTCATGTTTAGAAGAGCTAAACTGAGTGAAGCCTCCAGCAGGCATGTTGTAAGTGTCTGGTTCGTTCTAGAAATTAAGTGTACGCGGCTGAAATGTGAAGGCAGGTTCCCTCGGAAACGCTGATGCTCTGAATCCAGCTCATCGTTCGCCCGGGGAGGGGCGGTTATTCCAGTGCTTGGCAAGATTCGGTGACTCAGATCCTGGGCAGGCTGTACTGAGCCAGAGTTTTGTCCTCAAGCAGTTTAGAGCTTGTGGAATAAGCCTGCGCAGCGACTTTTTTTTAAAGCAAACAGTCTGTTGCATTTCCGTCTTCTGCTGCCTGGGGACAGTGTGTGCCATCTTTCTGGTCCACGAGTTTCCCGACCCCTCCCTGGGCCTCCCGCCACCACCCAACCCTGTGTCCCCGACATTCGTGCCTGCTCAGCCATCTCTGGGACAGCTCACCGTCCATGCGGTTCCGAGCAGCCTGGAAGTTTCCATCTGGCGAAGGGCTCTGTCCGAGCCTGGCGGAGGCCAAGACTCTGTCCCTGTGATGCTTCGAGGGGCGAGACCCTGCATTTACTTAAAAACACACGTTCAGAGGAAGACCGTGGCCGAGGCAGGAGGGTTTGCCTCGTCCGGTGGACGCCCGAACCCACTGCCTTGTTCTGTGACATCGTGTGCCTGGCCGGCGGCGGCCCAGCTGCCAGCACCTCATGAGCAGTCACACCCCGCCTCGGCGGCTGGGCACCTGCTGCCCACGGGGCGACGCCCGCTCAGCCCCCTCTGCTCTCGGCCGCTGCCCCGCTCTGCGCATCCCGGGCACTGGGCACCCTGCCCACCAGACTCTTCCCCTCCTCGCTGTTTGGAAATAGGGAGCAAAGTCTGAAGAATCGTGGCCGATCCCTTTCTAGAAATGTATCTAGTGAATAAGAGGCAGGTGTAGTCAAAGCTGCTCACGGCAGAGAAATAGCGGACGCGACGTCCACACGCTGCAAAGGTGACCGAGCGGGAGAAGCTCGGCCTTTCAGTGCAATTCTGCACAGTCCGCAGACTCCAATCCAGCGGGTAGAGGCCAGCGACGCCGCCGGACACCCCGAAATTGCGATTCCTGTGCCCGTGGGGGCTCAGGGACCTTCGTTTGGCCTCTTCTGTTCGCGTTCTTTTATATAAACATCAGCGGTCTAGTTTGAGGAAGTAAACACACCACGATAGCTTTTCTATTTATTTATTTATTTATTTATTTTTTAAATTGCAGAGGCTAGAACTTTCAGTATTATGTTGAATTAAAGTGGTGAGAATGGATACCCTTGCCCTGCTCTGGATCTTAGCAGGAGAACATTTGTTATCTTACCATGATGTGTGATGTTAGCTCTAGATTTTTTTTTTTTAGATGTTCTTTATCTTTTTTTCCCCCCAGAAGCTCAGGCCGGGCCGTCGCAGGGCTGCCTGGGCGGCGTGGTGTT